TGTGTGTGTGTGTGTGTGTGTGTGTGTGTGTGTGTGTGTGTGTGTGTGTGTGTGTGTGTCCTCTGCACTGGCATAGCTGTTGCTCTGTGAAATAGCTGGTCTAGATCTGTAAGAGACGCCCCTTCCCACCCCAGAAGAGAGCCTTGCCTCATGACCAAATAGAACAGCTTCTTGCTGATAAATTCTAAGAGCAAAAAAAACAACAACCCACCAACGCCTTTGACAACTGCTTAGCCTTCGAACGGCAAAGCTGCTCCATCTGCTCCGCTCAAGGGAATCCAGGCAAGGCCCAATCTCTTTAAGGTGTGTTTGGTAGCGGGTTGGTTTGGTTGTTTTTTTTAACCCTGAGCTGCATTCCCAGTCAGTGCAAGCGCTGGGTTTGGAACCAGCTGTTCTCTAATTAGAAATCGGATTCTGATCGTCTGTGATCTGATGGGTTTTGCTTCTAATCTGAGCTCTGCAACAGATGTGGTGCCTCTTAATTCGTACTTGGGTTTGTGCGTGTGCATCTGTGTGGAGCGGGGTGTCCCCCTCCTCCAACATGCTGGGTTTTTCCTAGCCACACTGCGGCTGAGGGTGACGCTCTGTATGTATTGAGCATGCATAAAGGTTACAAAAAGGCAAAAGAATTTTAAGTTGTCCCTTTTGCACTTAGTCCTAGTGAATATTAGCAAACCGCCTGACTCAGATCTGCACTGAGACTTACCCTGTAAATCAGGGACTTTATTAACCAGCAAACTTAATGGTTACCACTCTTGAGAGCTCTGTGCAGCACGGGGGGAGGAAGCCGTGGGACAGGGCAGAAGCTGAGGAGGTTAGTAAGAGTGTTGGACTCAGGGAGGCAGCCGGGGGTGGGGGGTGCCAAACACTAGAGGGCCATGTTGGATTCAGAGGTCAGTATTTATCCCCTGAATTGCCTGCTTTGGGACAGTGGCAATTCTGCCCCATCCAGGGAACTTTGTCTAAGGGCTAGTGCAGGGTTCTGTTCCCAGCCACTGAGTCGCTGTGTGACTTGGGCCAGTTGCTTCCCCTCTCTCTGCCTCAGTTTCCCCAAGGCAGGGTTGTGATACCTGCCTCGCCTGGGAGTGGCGAGGCTTCCTTTATGGATCCCTGCAAAGTGCTTGGAGGTCCCTGGATGATCAATGCCATTTAGGAAGCACGGCCAGGCCTTTTCAAGGCAGGGACCCACAGTCCATTCCAAGGAGAAGTCCGTTAAGTCTCTCACCTCTGGATTTTCACCACGCAGCTCCAGTTCAAGCAGATGGGGGCCGAAGCAGCCCAGCCCCCGCCCAGCACTGTGGAAAGCTGCCCCCTCTGGTCTCTCATGATAGCGTGTGTTTTATTTTGCTTGCAGATCAAGAAGCTGGGCCTCCGACGTTTCTGCCTCGCGGCCGTTTTCATGGTTGCTTGAAATGGTCGATGGTCTGTCTTTGTAAGTAAAATGAAACATACACTCTAATGAGAGACCCAGAGCCCACTTCAGCTCTCCCTGCCCCAGAGAGCAACCCCGTGTCCTTAATGCTGCACTGAGTGCGAGGAACGTCCTGCCCCGTGCTTGTGCGTGGGTGGCAGAACCGGGACAGTTCTGTTACGTGGCAGGCAGGAGCTGGATGGGGTATGCCGCCCCGTGGGAGGGTGGGGGCGCTTGGGGTGAAGCCGGGGCACTGCTTTTACCTGGATATTGCCTCCTCCCCAGAGCACAGGGGCACAGGGCACTTAAGGGAGCTCCCAAGCGCGTAGCCTGCTCCGTGGGCTGTGCACTCGGCCCCAGGGCGTGGGGAGCCGGGTCACAGCCACAGGCTACCAGCCCTTTCATTGAGTGGTGCACAGCAATCGCAGGACACGGCTCCAGGCCAGCGTAGGGGCAGGATGGGGAGCTGGCAAACACACTGGTCTGTGGGAGCAGTGCTGGGATCTGCCCTCTGGCAGCTGCTCCTGGAGTCCCGGGTGTCTGCGTCCATTGCTGTCTGTTAGCCCCCGCCTTGTGGGAGCAGCGAATTCACCACCGGGGCTTGTGGGTGCGAGCACATGAGGGCGTGCAGGGAGGGTGCTTTCAAGGGGGCTGCCGCTGTTCGTTTTTTACCATCTCTGTCCGAACGGGACTTTTTCCCAACCCGCTCGCTCCCCCGTTAGCAGAGCGGGCTACGAGGGTGCAGGCTGCGTCCACAAACCTTCCGTCGGGGCCATGTGCGGAGTTTAACTTAGTAACACACCTGTCACTGGAATAAAAGCAGTTGTGGCCGGGGGGTTATTTTCGGCATCTCTTTAGCAAGCGGCTGATATTCCTTCGTAGTAGAGCGAGAGGGAGCCTGAGAAAACACCAGAGTCAGGGCTGCTGGTTTCCAAGAAGCATAACCACAGCGGGGCAGGTTAGTAGTGAACGCGGGAAGGGGGGATTTTGAGAGCCACGGGGCTATTCGGCAGCTGTATTTTCTCGGGGCGAATCGTGGGGCCCTTTGGGGTTTGTGTTCCCGGCAGAGCTATGTTCAGGGGGACTTGGCGCCCCGATTTCATGGGGGGGGGCATGCACTGTGTCACGGAGCCTGTGAACAGGAATCCCTCTGCTTTTCCCAGCGACTCTGGTTCCTGGGTTGTGCTTCTAGCTGCTGCGGTTCCTGCTCCGGGGAGGCGAGGGGACTAGGCAGAGGGGGGAGACTGGCGAAAAGCCTGTAACTGACGGGCTATCCAGGGAGTGTAATTACCCAGCAATCGGGCTGGTTCTGTGATTTCAAGCTGCGCTGGACAACGGGCAGAAGTGCCCAGGGCACAATCCCCGCTCTACTTTCTGTGGGCAGGAGAGGGAGATTGCTCAGCAGCGACTGGCATGAAGGCACCTTTCCTAGGGGCTGATCTCTGCACACGCTAGGAAATGCGCGGCCTGTAAGTGCCGAGGATCCACTGCTGCGGGTTCAAACAATGCAGGCACAGCTTTAATGCAACCGATTGTTCTGCAGGCTTAGAAAGCAGATGTCAGGGCCTGGCCCTGCCTTTCATTCTGTGATTGCAGATAGCCGCGTGTGTGGCTGAGGTGAGTTAGGGCTGGATTTTCCAAAGCGCTCTGCGCCCGTCCTGCCCCCCGGGCTGCTGAACACCTTGGAAGGTGGCTCCTGGGGCCCTTGGAAGCGCTTGGCACGTGCGGGAGCGAGCCCTAGACATCACCACCTGCAAACATCCCAGCCAGTCGAGCAGCCCCAGGCCCTCGCTCCGCTGTCAGGTTGTATTTGCCGAGGCTGATGCAAAGTGCTCCCCATCCCCGTGGTGACAGCCCAGGCTGGAGCCCGCGTTGGTTGTCCTGCGGATTCTCCCTGGGGCTGGGGAAGGCGAGTTGTTCCTTCCGGTCCATGCTCTGGTCCAGCAGAGGTCACGTGCTGATACACAGAGCCCCCTGTGCAGCGAGGGGCAGAATTTCCAGACAGGCTCTGCTGTCCTCGCGCGTTGTGTTTGTGTCGCTGTTAAATGACTGGCTGAGCCAGGTCTCTCCGGGAGCAGGGCGGGTTATTGATTTATTGGGCCTGATGAGCACACGGCCGCTTCGCGGCACATTCATTTACCCGCGGGGGCCGTGGCTGATTGCCCTGCTGCTTGGCTGTCGATTGGAAGCTGCCGTGGCCGGACATTGGCGTTCACGTTCCCTTCTGTTTGCAACACGTCGTTGTGAGACAGACGGACTCCCCATGTAGCCACCAAACACTGACATATCTTCCCTGCCCCCTGGTGCTGACACCTCCTGCCCTCCCCTCGCTGACACGTCTTCCCACCTCCCTTCCCCGCACAGGACCTGCGCATGGCATCCTCTCTGCAGGTCACCAGCCGCACACTGAGAACTCAGCCTCCTGCTCCAAAAAGCTCACTTTGGTAAAGGAAAATCCCCATTAGCTTCTGGCTGTCTAGAGCCTATGGCACATAGTAGAGCCATTCTGATTCTCTCCAGTGGGGGGGCAGCATTACTTGCTAGAAGCCCATTACAGCGTTCTGCCAGAGGCCAGCCACTGGTCTTGAAAGCCAGCGTCTTCTCCAGTGACCATCTCTCTGTCTCTCTCATTGCAGTAATGAATGGAAGCAGCCACTCCCCTACCGCTATCAATGGAGCTCCTTCCACCCCCAACGGGTTCAGCAACGGGCCTGCCACCTCCTCCACTGCCTCCCTGTCCACCCATCAGCTCCCTCCCGCCTGCGGCGCCCGGCAGCTCAGCAAACTCAAGCGCTTCTTGACCACCCTGCAGCAGTTTGGGAACGACATCTCCCCGGAGATCGGGGAGCGGGTGCGCACGCTGGTGCTGGGGCTTGTGGTACGTTCTGTGGGGCGTGTTTGTCCGGCATGCGCCATCGGAGAGACGGACGTAGCTGTAACCGAGCCAGGCTTTTCCCTCCCAGAGCTGTGGGGCCAACTCCGCAGAGATTTTTGCTGGTGTTCCTGAATTTGCTCTGAGGAAAAAATTTGCCATTTTCCCAGAAGAAAACTTCTCCCCCTCTCTCCCCCCAGCAAAACTGGGAATTTCTCCTGCATTTGTCACCAGGTACAAATTGCCCATTGCGGCCTCAAGCCCTGCACCGAAATGCAGAGGTGAAGAGGGAATTGTCCAAATGAACTGACCTGCCCCTCCCCAGCCCAGCCCCGTGTGACTAGTAGCCCAGGGCCTGTGGCGGTAGCCATGTGAATTCTAGAGCCCAGTGGAAATGCCAGCTCTGCCCCAGGCTGGTGGGAGGGAGAAGCGGGGTCAGTGCAGCGAACGCTGGCCGTGTGAACGGGCTGGTGACTCCTCTCTGAGCCTGACCCTCTCTCTGCCTCGCAGAACTCCACGCTGACCATTGAAGAGTTCCACTCCAAGCTCCAGGAGGCGACTAACTTCCCGCTGCGCCCCTTCGTCATCCCCTTCTTGAAGGTAGGTCCCTTATGCTGCCCAGTCCTGTCTAGCCCAGGGCCGTGGCCCCACCAGCCCCCGATGACACCCCATGGGGGAGCTCTGCGGTATCAGGCACGCTTTGACTTGGGAGATGGTTGCTGTGGGTGGCACGCTTATCAGACTCCTGGGCTATGGGAAGAATTTATCTGCTCTGTCAAGGAACATGCAAATACCTGAGTCAGATGGGGACAGATCCCATAGAGCTGGGGAGCTCTGGGGTGGAGCCCAGGAGAGTTGGGCAGTAGTGGGGGGTCGTGCTGGGTTGATTGCCTGAATGTTGTAATTTTAGGAAGCCAGGAACCCCCTTCCCCGTGTTCCTCGGGCTCACCCCCTCCGCTCACATGCACAGGAATATGCTTTGAAGGACTCACTCCCTCCTCTCCATTGGGGTGGCACATTCCCTTCTCCCGCTGCCCCCAGCTTTGGACCAAGGAACTCAGCAGGCCCTTGTCTCTGCACTAGCCGAGATGCTTGTGTTTGGCTTCCCAGTGCCGCAGAGGGGGCGTCTTGACTTCCAAGGAACGTTTCAAACCAACGGGAAGCCCTGTCTCTGTCTAGTAAGCTTTGTGGGGCGCTGTAAGCCCAGGGCCCGTGCACCAAAGAGCGCTCTCCAGCCCCGGGATTCCAGGCCCCTTTTCTTCGGCTTCTTTTCCCAAATAACACAAATTCAGCACGTCAATCGTGTCCCTTCCCCGATTCGGGATCTCCTGCAGGGGCCTATCTACTCCCAGTCTGCCCCCTTGTCTGTTCCCAGGCCACACGCTGGGTGTCACATGCAAACTGAGTTCTTTCCCCTGCAGAGCCTGAGCTCCTGCTATCCCCGGACCCACGGCCTCATCACAGCCTCAGCTGGGAGGCAGCTGATCAGTCCCAGCTGGAGAGCTATGCCCTTCCCCTCCCGCCCCCCAGGCCAGCCACGTTGTGACAGAAACCCAGCTCTGCCCCGTTTTAAATAAACGGAAAGTGAACGCTGGGGGCGGGGTGGGTTACACAGGATTACTAGGCTGGGATGCAAAGGGATGACAGACACACTGATGCCATTCTCGAGTGCATTTCAAAGGGCAAGACAGTTACAAACGGAAACCAGTTTGCTTTGCCTAACCTAAAGGGCAGCGTCCCCTTAGGAAAGAGGAGGTGTGCTTAGGTATCCAGAAACCCCGGGAAAACCCACCCTTCACTCGCAAGGCTTCAGATCCAGCTCTCCATTCCGGGCCTGGATATTTGCCCCAGGCTGGTGGTGCCCAGGTGAATGAGGAACGCTGGCTGACACAGTCACACGTGCTCGCTCATTGCAGGCACCCAGCTGCTGGCATGGAGGTTAGTGCCAGGGGTCCACCCCTCTGGAATATGTCACCATTGAAGTTCGACTCCCTCCTCTTCATTTGCAAGTGCCTGACGCTGGGTTGGCACGGCTCACGCTGGGGGCACCTGGCTTCCGCTCCGAGGCTGGGTTTGCTGGTGAATGTGGGCAGCCTCCGGGAGCAGGTTCCTGGCTGGGCTCTGGGTCTGAAGGTGACCCTCTCATTGTCAGTCAATGCACCGGCTCGGAGCGGAGGTGCCGCCCGGGCAGTGATGGGAGGGGGTGCTGGACCCAGGGCGTTGTACGCTCAGATTGGCCGAGGGGAAGTCAGAACTCTGGGCCTATATGAACTCTTTGCCCAGCGAGAACCCGTGGTGCCAGTTTCGTGGTCTCAGCCGCTGGTTCAGCCCTCTCCTGGGCGGGTGCCTGGCATTGCCAGTTCTCGAGGTGAACGCAAAAGAGGTTCAAACAACCCCCCAGTGACCCCGCCCCGCCTGTGCCTCCCGCTAGCTCTGCGTGGGTGGAGCTCAGTCTCTGGCCATGCCATGGATGTGAGGGTGTTTTCCAGACCTGTAGCTCCCGCCTCCTATGGGAGCTGGCGGGGAACCGTCCTTGCTGCACGTCTGCTCTTCCATGACACGAATGAGAAAGAGACCGAGCAGGATCAGCCAGGGGCCCAAAGGGGACAAGGACGGGGGCCTGGCTCCATGTACCCTCCCAATCTCGGATTGCTGGGCCTTGGCTCCCAGGGCGCAGTTTGGTGTAACTCTTGGCCCCCGACATTAACGCTAGGGAACCCTTAAAGCCCTCTTGCTTTGCACCATAGTGCGTTAGCGCCCTGCCCGTTGGGGCCATGTCAGGGGCCCCCCCTCACGTAGCCTTCCTCGCCCCACAGACAATCATTCAGCAGCTCCTGGGACCGGGCTGCTGCCTGGTGGGAGCCGGCGACGTCCCCAGGTGAGGAAGGAGGCCCTGGGCCGGAGCAGGAGCTGTGAGGGGAGCTCGCCGAGCTTCAACTCAGCTGTTGCCCGCCCCCTCTCTCTTTCCCGGGCTCTCACGCTCCGGTCTCAGCAGTTCCAGCTCCGCAGCTGAGTCTGTTGATTTGGGAAATGTGGGGGTGGGGAGGGGGTAACCTGTGCTGCCCCCTCCCCAGCCCCCGGGACGTCCCGCAGCTCTTCAGTACAGGTGCACTCCCGCTCTCGCCCACATGCAGAGCTGGGTGCAGCAAAAAGCAGGGCTAGGCCCAGCTGCTCACCACGTGCAGTTCATTCAAAATCTCCCTTTTATATTTGCCTTTTAATTCCGCCCTGAGCCTGCTCTGTCGCCCCGCTCTGGAGGGATTCTCAGCGCCCTGGCGTGTCTGTCAAACCAAATATGTACAGCCCATGCTCCGGGCTGGCTTCAGCTGCCCTTGTTTATCAGAGGAATCGGAGGGGGGGTGGGAAGTCCCCCCCCTGCATCTTTATTATCTCCCCCGCCCCGGCCCCAAGGGTTCTATCCCGATGGCTCTGAACTAGCCGCAGGAATCTGGCCAGAGCAGCCTCCAGCGCTCTCGGAGCCGGTGTATTCCACTCCCCTCAAACGGCAAAGGGTTTAAACGTTTAAGAGTGCTCTGGGGCGATGCGGCGCTGGCCACGTCCGGCAGGGTGGGCTCGTCTGCCCCCATCTTTCTGTCCGGGGGGAAATTGAGTATAAAATCAGAGCTTCTGCCTGAGGATCTCAAAGCTCTTTAGAGACATAGGCGGAGATTTTCAAAGCAGCCTAGGAGGTTTAGACACCCAGGTTCCATTGACATGAATGAAAGCTACGTGTCCGGTCACCTGGACTGGTTTGAAAATCTCAAGCATGAAGGACCTGATCCTGCTGCTCTTTGTTCTATGGCTGCAGGAGTGGGCGCTATTAATCCAAGCCCCACAATGCCCCCAGGAGATAGGTGCTATTCTCCCTGCTATGTGGATGGGGAAACCGAGGCACAGGGAGGCCAAAAAAAGGGCCTGACATGCAGAAGTCCTGGGCTCTCGCAAGTCGGACTGATTGCAATGGGAACTGTGGGTGCACAGCACCTCTGAAAATCAGGCTTTGAGTTATGGGCTCTGACACTGCCTCCTATGGCCCTGGGCAGGTCCGTGCCTCAGTTTCCCCACTGGTGAAAGAGCGGTAATAATAAGCTGTCCCTCCTAGGGTTGCTGTGCGGTTGAGTTTGGTGGTCTATGGAAAGTGCTGTAGAGGGCGAGGGATTTATTACCGTGGGGCAAGGAGTTGGCTCTGTGAGTCTGTATTGTGTTTTCCCCTGATCCCCCCAATGCCCCTTTCCATTCCGTGCCTGGGCCCGGCACAGCAGCCCCTCAGGCAGCTGCGGTCAGTGCAGCCCCGGGGAGGAGAGGGGATCAGGGACACTGCTGCTGCTCTGGCTCTCGGGGCAGAGCTCCAAGTGGACCTAGTCTCTCCGGTGCCTGCAGTGCCGTTGGTCGGGCAGTCGTACCCACTTGCCTAACCCCTGAGGAAGGCGGGCACAGGGGGCCAGCTGGGGGATCCACGTCTTGGGCACTGGGCAGGACCTGCAGTTTCTGATGCTTCTTCCTCTGCTGTCCAAAGCTAGAGGAGACGGAGCGCCGCAGCCTGGAGGGTGAGGGTACGTCTCCTTGCCCCGCTCCGGGAGATGCTGCCCTGTCCTCCAGGCTACATGCCCATCAGAGAGGGCCAGTGCTCCCTGCCGGGAAGGCTTGGCTCCAGATCCTTGGGCAGAAGCCAATGTGACGGTGCCCTGGAGAAGCTTGGCTTCCATGGCACCTCTGTGCCCGGTGCTCCCGGACCTCAGGTCCTGGGGCGCTGTGAAAATCCGGCTCCTGGCTGCAGTTCCCGAGTGAGGCTCAGCGGTTCTCTGGCCAGAGGAGCCATTTGACAACACTCCCTGTGCTGTCTGCTCCCCTGGCACCCTGCGCCCAGCTGTTTCCACCTAGGACGCCAGCTGCTTCTCATTACGCTAACTGCAACCAGCCAGCCCCAGTATGTTTCCCAGACTCCGATTTTTTAAAAATTATTTATTTAACTGGGGAGAGGGGGGATGAGAGGGGGGGAGGGGCGTGCTGCCCTCAAATCTCCAGCCGCACATTTTCTCAGCTCAACTCGAACATGTTCAACAGATGGCGATTTGGCTGAGGCTCAGCTGTCTACATCGAAAACCGGGGCTGGCAGCAAAAGCGCTTGGATAAAAATGTGTTTCTGCTGCTTAATCATCTCTGCTTTGGATGCTCTTCTCGGGGTGGAGGCTCCCTGAGAAACTCCGTGGGTGGGGGAGTTTATTTACAAGTCCTTCCTCCCCTGCAAATGCACACGCTGGAGAGGCGAGCGACTCCCGGTGTCCGAGCTGGCCATGCCCCCGCAGGGACAGGTGGGGCTTTCCTGGCCTGCCCTGGGGGGGGCTCTCGCCTGGGCGGTGGCATGGCTAGGAACACCCCCAAAGCCGCTCCCAAGCGCTGGCTAAGGGGAAGTAAACGTGGCACCACGAGTGGCCATGGTATTGGAGGAGCGGACGCAGCCTGTGTAAACCACATGTGCTGATAGGCAGGAGAAGCCCTGGGCTTTTGTGATCTGTGTTTGTCTTATCCCCGGGGGTTGTCTGGTGCCCATCCCTGTGGCATCTGTGGGCCAGATCCGCCCCCGCCCCCCATTGAAATCCAACAGGGGCCTTTCCATCCCCTCGGCTGGGGTTGGATCTGGCCCCCAGTGCTTTACGTGGCTTAGAATCCGTCTCCGGGTCGGGGGATGGGGGAAGCCCATTCTCTAGCCAGGCTATATATGGGCCTGATTCTGTCCCCCTTCATTCGAATTAGCAGCAACAGTGCAATCAGTGGAGCTACTTACTGAGTAAGGTGCTCCTCGGGGCGAGTAAGGCTAGCAGCCCTGGCCCCAAGATGATTAACGGAGGAGCTCAAACCGCAGCCCCCCTCAGGAGCCCATGGGATGGGAGCAAACGGCAGTGATGCCTGCTGGTTACAGAAACTCTTGGGACTTCCAAAGCCCGGTGAGCTCCCAGCCCCTGCCTCTGATGGCTAAGGAGGGGCTGAAGGCACGGAGAGAGACCTTACCCCGGGTGCTTGGTTGAATCCATACAGCTGGGATTCTGGCCAGGTGCTAGCAATTGTCTGTTGCTGTTACCAGGGGAGGTTTGCCCAAACATAGCAATTCCCATTCTAGATCAGTCCAATTATCCATCTACTCCAGTGTCCTGTACCTTGCTTCCGGGGAAGGTGCCACAAACCCTGCAGCTGGTCGTTATGGGGTAACTCCCACGTCTGCTGGCCAGAAGCGTAGGAGGATCCTCGTGTCGTGTCTAACACGGCCACGGCTTAGGCTGAGCCGGCCGATACTGGGGGTTCGAGGGAGGGAACCTCATTATGGGGGTTCGGGGGAAGGGTGTGCTACGCCCCTGCTTTCCCCAGCAATGCCTGGGGATGGGGAAGCGCTGCTGCACGGAGAACAAAGACCCGGGCACTGACCCACACGGGCGGTTTGACCAAGGGCGGCGAATTCTTGGCCGTGTGTTCAGACAAGGCAGATGGTATCCTTGCATTGGGGGTAGCTCTGGCAGAGAAAGCAACGGTTGAGGAAGCTCCTCCCTCCCTGTCAGGCCAGCATCCTCTGCCGTTTATCTTGGCCCTTCCCGGTCTGCGAGGGACACAGAGTAAGGAGCCCCCTCGTGGCCCACCCCTGCAAGGCAATGGAGCCCAGCCTGGGACAGCTTGTCTGTGCAAAAGTGGGTGGTGGGGGCAGTGCTGGGGCTGGCGGGGGCTTTACTCTGTCTCTGCCCCACTTGCAGGCCAACCTGCCCTTGCTGCAGCGCGAGCTGCTCCACTGCGCCCGCATGGCCAAGCAGACCCCAGCCCAGTACCTGGCCCAGCACGAACAGCTGCTGCTCGATGCCAACGCCTCTTCCCCCATCGACTCCTCTGAGCTGCTCCTGGAGGTCACCGAGACTGGCAAGAGGAGGACACCAGACAGGTAGGACCCGGAGGCTCGCGCTTGCTTTCCCGGAGCCCCACCCAGCTCCCGGGGCTAGTGTCATGCGGTGAGCACGGGGCCCGCGGCGAGTGGGCGTGACCCAGCAAGGAGGAGAGGATAAAGCCATTCCCAGCTCCCCACCTTTTAGGGGTGGGGCTTGGGGCAGGGCAGTCTCCTGAGTACTCTCCGCCAGCCTTTCCCCTGCCCAAGCTCAAGGGCCCAGGCTGGCGAGACCCTGCTCCAGAGAGCATGGCAGGCATGTTGGGCCACTCACAGCCAGACTCCAGGCACTGTGGGGTGTGGAGCTGCGCCCATTCCTGATCGCTGTGAACAGGAAATGTCACATGGCCTGGAGCATTTCCCCGCCGTGTGCAGCCCTCGGGGCTCCTGGGATCTGGGGGTACGTCAGGACTAAGCCCCCTGCACCAGAGGAGAGGTTCACTCCAGTAGGGGGCAGCTGAAGTTCCCACCATCCGCCTCCTTGGGGTTTCCCAGAAAGGTGGGCAGCTTGCATCTCCACCCAGGCACCGGGCGAGCGGTCTGGGCCAGGAATCAGCACCTCTAGCTGTCCTGGCCACACACCTCTTTGTGACCAGTGCCACCCAACAGTGTGTCTGCGCTGCATTGTTAACCTGGGTCTATGGAACCGGGCCTGGGTGTCTCTGGGTTTCTAAGCCAGGGCTTGAGCGTCCACACTGCATGGTAAACTGGGGCTTACAGGTGCTGGACTGGGGTCTCGCAGCCGTGCTAGCACATCTACACTGCGCTGCTTAGCCCTTCTGTCTCAAGTCCGCGGCTTGAGCTGTGTCCACACTGCACAGCGACGGGGCTTGGCCCCGAGTCACAATGAGACTCGGGCTGTGACCCTCCCCACAGCAGGGTCTGAGGACCCGGGTCCTGAGTGCTTGTGACCCGAGTCAGACTGATTGGTGTGTGGACAGAAGGAGGACTGGGGCTCCAACCTGAGTCAGAGCCGGGTTAGTGTGCTGTGTAGCCATACAGCCCCCTACCTCCCTGGCTATGTGCCCTGTCACCCAACAGACTGCCCCTGCAGGGGGCCAGTGCATGAGCAGGCAGGAGCCAGAGAGGAATCTGGCCCATAGCTGTCTAGTTCAGACGGAGTTCAGCACTCCCTCCGCTCGGAGGAATCACTCGCTGCACCCAGGACACAATGATGCGGGCTCCAGGTTGGACTGGATACGTTGGCAGCTACTTGCATTTCCGGAGACACTTACCCTCAGGTTCTGTAGGTCAGGATCATCCTCCCTCATTTGACAGAGGGGGAAACTGAGGCACAGAAGGGCAGTGACTTGCCCAAGGCCCCCGCGGGAGTCAGTGTCAGAGTTGGGCTCAGCGGCCAGAGCACCGGGCTGGGGCTCAAAGCACTTTGCAAAGGAGCCGAGGGTCAGGAAACCCTTTCCCAGGGTTGTAACCAGGTCGCCCTTTTTCTCCTCCGCGGAGCAGGACCAAAGAGAACGGCTTGGACCGAGACCCTCTGCACCCCGAACACCTCAGCAAACGGCCGTGCACCATGAGCCCCGCTCAGCGGTACAGCCCCAGCAACGGGCTGAGCCACCAGCCCAACGGGCTGCCCCACCCCACCCCGCCCCCACCTCCGCACTACCGCCTGGAGGACATGGCCATGGCACACCACTACCGGGACACCTACCGGCACCCCGACCCCAGGGAGCTCCGGGAGCGCCACCGGCAAGTGGGTGAGTGGGAGGCGGCGTGGGCATTCGGGGGGATTGACCTCCCTGAGAGACGACCCGGAGAGCATCCCTTCCCCTCCACTGCTGCAGGGGCCAGACTGCTCCATGCAGGGGGTGCTCTGCAGGCTGGGGGAAGGGGCACCCTAGACTGCCTGCCCGAGGGGAGGTGCCTGGGAATTCACCGGGGGGCAGGCTGCCTCCCTGGAGCGTGCGCAGTCCGGCGGGGACTGGCCACCACAAAGCACTGGGCCAAGGGAGGGAGCCTCCATGGCTCTGGGTGGCTTGAGAGCGTAACGAAGGGACGGGTGAGGTGAGCCGGGGGAGGCTGGCAGTTGGGGCAGGGTGGAGACAGAGGGCCCAACCCACTGCAGGCAGTGGAGTTACACCGGGTGACGGATTCGGCCCCAGCTCTGCGGAGAGAAGCGAGCCCTGTTGTGGCGGGCGCTGTAAGGACACCGTGGAGAGGAGTTGCCCCTGGGTAGCTAGAGAGAGCAGAGCAGGGGATGGCTCTCCCGGAGGAAGGGCAGCGCTCCGGATCCCGGGCATGATATTCAGAAATAGCTGGGGTCACAGCAGTACCAAGCCAAGGCGGGAGGCATCTTTCAGGAGAGGCAGAGCTGCTGAGGGCCTATCTACACCGCATTGTAAACCCAGGTCTGGGGGACTCAGGCTCGAGGGCCCACATTCGAGCGTCCACACTGCTTTGTACCCGAGGTGTCCCTACTGCGCTGCACAGCCCTTCTGACTCGAGTCTCTGGCTTGCCCTGCAGCCACACTGCACAGTGCCCGGGCTTCGACCCCAGTCCCAGTGGGACTCGGGCTCTGACCCACCCCCTAGCAGGCTCCTAGGTCCCAGGTCCTGAGTTCTTGTGACCCGAGTCAGACTGAGTGGTGTGTGGACAGAAGCGGAGCTTGGTCAGAGTCCGGGTTAGTGCACAGTGGTTACACAAATCACTCAGCATTTCAGTCCCTGACTCCCTGGGAAAATCCATCAGACATTCTGGGGCTGCCGGGGGTCCTAGGCAGGCTGAGTTCTTGGTGGTCCTGCACAGTGCCCCCGTCCCACCGCTGAGACGATAGTCGTTGGAAAGGGGACCGGGGAGCGGGGTGGGCAGCTGTTATTGCAGGGTCTCCTGCAGGGAAGGGCCGGTAAAGAGGGTAAAGAGGGTGCAGATGTGTAGGTGCTGACCCAGGGCTGCTGGGAGGGCGACCCCGTTCCTGGCACATGGGCAGCTCTGGCAGCAGCCCAAAACCCAATTCCCCGGTTAGCAAAGAGCAGGCGAAGCGTCTCCCTGTCAGTTAGCCCCAAGGACTGTTCACCTCTCCGGGCTGCTCAGGCAGTGCCCTGTGTTCCAGAGCTGGCCCAAGTGGGGGCTGTACGGAGGGTATAGCGACTGCACTGATTTTCGAACGTCTCTCTCTCTCTCTTTTTCCCTGACGGCCTCTCCTGCCGTGGGGCGCGACTCCACTGCCGGCCCGTGTCGAGCTCTTTGAGCGGGTGCAGCCCCAGCCAGAGCAGCGTCCTCCAGCCCCAGGCCCTGCACGACACCTCCCAGCATGCTGCGTGGGCCAGGCGCACCCCCTGCCCGCCAGCACTGCTCTCATCTCTTTGCACTGTACAGTGCCCAGCACCAGGGGCCCTAATCCCGGAGCACGGCCCCGAGGTGCTGTCCTAACACAGAGCATAAAAAACAGCCGTAACTGGAGCCCCTGGGGTGCTCAGAGCTCTGGGCCAGGGTGACTGGCTCTCGCTGACCTGCGTGTTCTCTTCCAGCCGTGCACGGCTCCCGCCAGGAGGAAGTGATCGACCACAGACTAACAGACAGGGAGTGGGCTGAGGAGTGGAAACACCTCAACAACGTACGTAGCAACCCCGCGCGCCGCTGTCTGTTACCTGGGCAGCCCTGCCAGGCACTGGAGTGGCTGTGGCATTTGTGCTCACTACGGGGGGAGGGCATGGATTAATTGCTCTAGAGAACATGAGCTCTGGCCCCTCCACAGAGGGGCTCCTAGGTTAACTCGTCCGGACTTCTCTGGTTCCCGTCCCGTGCTGCTCACCATCTTCGCTGACGTTTGAGGTGGGGCCTGCTGCTGTAGCCCTGGCTCCGGGGAAGTCCCCCCTGAAATGGATGGCTTTTCCTGAGCCAGGAACCCTGCAGAAACTGAACTCCATCCCCCAGCTGGTGGACCCCGCCCTTCCTTGGAGCCCTAGGGTCCCTGTCTGCTGGAATTTGAGTCAGGACCCTGTTTTGTGTGCCCTGGCTTATGGTTCCCCATTCTGACCCCTGTCCGGCTGCCCTGGCCTAGGGGAAAGTCCTGGGAACCAGCCATTGCAAAGGTGGCGCCTTCTCAGGGCTTGGCAAGCCACAGGAAGTGTGCTGAGTGTAACTCCATTGATGCATGCCTTGTGTAGACACACTCCCCTCGTGCAAATCGGGACAGACACAAATCTGCAGTAGATACGCCCCTTCCCTCCCTCCCAGTGCAAATCGGGACAGACACAAACGTGCTGTAGACACACTCCCCCCGGGCAAATCGGGACAGACACAAACCTGCTGTAGACACGATCCCCTCAAGCAAATCGGGACAGACACAAACGTGCTGTAGATACACTCCCCCCGGGCAAATCGGGACAGACACAAACGTGCTGTAGACACACTCCCCTCATGCAAATCGGGACAGACACAAACGTGCTGTAGACACACTCCCCCCGTGCAAATTGGGACAGACACAAACCTGCTGTAGACACGCTCCCCCGATGCAAACTGGGGCTTGCACAGATGCATCACATACCAGGGTGAGACGCACCAGTGCAAGCCCATCCTACCCTGAGACAGCACATGCATCCCGGGGGTTTGCACTGGTGCAGCTACCCCCCAGCATGTACCCCGTGCCCAGGCCTTACCTGTGCTCTCCCTCCTGCTCTCTGGCAGCTGCTGAACTGCATCATGGACATGGTGGAGAAGACGCGGCGCTCCCTCACCGTGCTGCGCCGCTGCCAGGAGGCCGACCGCGAGGAGCTCAACCACTGGATCCGCCGCTACAGCGATGCTGAAGACATGAAGAAAGGCCCCAACCCCCCACCCCGCCCCCACAACAGCTCCTCCAACTCCGAGGCCCCCCCATTAGGTACTGACGAGCCCAGCGGAGCGGCTTTCCCCGCACGGCGCGGGCGTAGCAGAGTGACTCAGGGCTGGGGCGGTGCCTTCCTAGGCTGCCTCCTGGGTGCCCAGCCCAGGTCTGGTTGGAGAGCTTGCAAAGAGCTGGATGCTTTAGCAGAGGAACCCCACAAACACCTGGGCACCCCCTGCCGAGCCTCTCCCCTGCAGCAGCTGGAGGCCTTGGGCCGAACAGTGCTCAGAAGTGAAGTGACCGCAGTGTAAAGTGTCCGGGGCGTGGCTGCTGGGTACCATCCTCCATTCAGTCTCTGGGCTGTCTCTTTCCTCTCCTGGGTGCAGGACTTTACCATCAATCCCTCCCCACATTGCCTGCAGCCGTGCTGCTCCCATCTCGCCGCCGGGTCCCTCTGCCCTTCGGCTCTCTCCTCCCCGCGAGATGCCCCCTCTCTCCCGTTTGGGGTCACCCGTGAATTTGATCAGAACCCAGCAGCAGCCCTGGCGCTCCCCTGATACGTACTGTCAGCATCCACCCCAGGGGGGACTTCGCTGCCCTGAGCAAGTGGAAACTGTCCCGACAGCCCCCAGTGCCTGAGACAGAGAACAGTCCCTGGGCACCGCCAGCCCGGCTCTGTCGGAAGGGCCGAGCGGCTCTGTGTTCTTGAGGGAACAGTGACCAAGATGGAAGGTGCCTTCAGTGGCATGAGCTCATCAGCCGAGGTGATAGAAGGGAACGAAATGTCACAGACCTCTGATATCTCAGCCATGCCGCCAGGCCTTGTTACCCGCCAGCCCCTAGCGACTGAGGGAAAAGGCTTCCCCGCCCCAGCCATCCCCTCAGCAGGACCTCATGCCTGCTGGTCTTGGGGCCCTGGTGCTGCACCCCGTCACCAGTGGGTGCCAATGACAGAGAGCTTCACTCCAGCTCTTGGTGGTTCCCTTCCCCTGAGACGCTCCATTCCCGTTCCCTCTGCAAAGCATCACCACAGGAAGCTAGAGTCCCTCCCACAGCTCGCCGCGGGCACTGGGCTGCCAGGTGCATTGTATTGCGAATAAAAACCAAAAGATGGGTGGCTTCCAGAGAGAGCCTGGCAGGGGATGCCCTAGCCTTGAAAGCACTGGAAGGAGAGCCCAGTTCCCCGCCCGGGGACTGCCTGAAAACGGCCAGGGAAATTGTACTCGTTGGGGGCCTGAACCTAAGACCTAAAACAGAGGTCTCTTGTGTTCAGTGGGTGCTCGGGATCCTTTGGACGGTTCCATCCCCCAGGGGGTGTCTAGCGGGGCTGGGTCTCTCTTCCAGGCTGCACCGCCCCGACGCTGATGTCTCTGCTTTCGCCCTCTCGTACAGAGCTGCTGGAACTGCGGGCGCAAGGCCAGCGAGACCTGCAGCGGATGCAACCAATGCCAACTCAGGCACCATTTTGAGTGGGTTGCACTTGACACGCCCTTTGCCCAGGTATCATGGCGCCAGGTGCCAGGCAGAGGAGAACCCGGCCCAGGGAGTTAGCAGCTCCCACAGCAGCTCTGTGTGTATCTTGGAGGCAAGAGCCGGCAGGGATGGTTTCCACTGTGTCACTGTCGGTCTCAGCACTGATCGCACTGTAGCGCAGCTCTCCTGGGCTGTTGGTTAGGTTGGACACGCTTCATTTCTTCCAATTTGTTCCTCTCCCCTCTTGTTTTCAGACACTCACCGGGAGTTTGTGCCCAGGCCCCTCTCTGGTTACATGCCCGAGGAAATCTGGAGGAAAGCTGGTGAGTGTGCCACCATGGGACCCCTGTCCACAGCCCGGCGCGGCACTGCCCGGCGTGAGGCAATGCATGAGGCCGGGGGGCCCAAACCGTCCCCGGCCGAGCCTGAGGCCAAACGCATCCCTGGGTCTATTGCCTGGGCCTCAGTGGAATTCCCCTGCTGTGTTTCAGGGGCTGAGGTCGGGGGAAGAAGCCCTGCTCATTAGGACACCCTGGGGACTGGCGAGCGTTACACGGAAATGTCATCCCTATGCCTCCTTCCTTGTCCCCCGAACCAGCGGCTGGGAGTGGGGGGGACCTGATCCAAAGCCCATTGAAGTCAATGGGAGTCTTTCCACTGGCTCCCGAGGGCCTTGGATGAGTCCCATAGGGACTTTCACACCCAGACCGAACTCAGGAGCTTACGGACGGGATTGCGCCCACTGTAGGCCAGTTTTCTAGCCCCGTCTCTCTGGGGCACCCTTACGTGTAGAGCACTCCATGGGGCTGGAGGGCAGGGACGAGGGGGAACAAGCTCCCATCGTTTCTGATGGTGCCGGACCCCAGAGGCCGCTGCTCCTGCTTGTTCCCTGCAGTTTAGTTTGTGCCTTTGGATGGCCCGTTGCCGGGAGAGCAGGAGGGGATCTGAACTCCATGGAGGGATTGATTCTCTGCCCAGACCTACCGTGGACACGTGGGATTTTCTGCCATCCCTCTGCTGGAGCGGGCACCCAAGCTGCTCTCCTTGGGCAGCCCAGGCTTTCAGAAAAGCTCATGCTTGGTTGGTGGGCGTGATGGGCCGTGGCTCAGCCTGGCGCCGGCGCTGGGCGAGTCTGGAAAAGACAGGCGATAGAGAACATGGTCAAGGCGTTCTCCCCTTGTTCTGACAGTGTTTTAAGATGCCCCTGCCCTCCCAGGAGCTTCCTTTTGAACCCCACACTGCACGTGCTTTTCCTCCATAGCATGCGCTGTGGTTGACAGATGGTTATGTGGATAACAAGACCCTCTGCAGTTAGAAGGGGTGCATCAGGGTAGAAACCAACCCCTAGCTGCCAGCGGTCAGGAGGAAACTTCCCCCTATGGGCTGCTTCTGCCACAGCTGTCCACTCTGGGCGGGTTCTTGCACCACCTAGCCTCTGGTGCTACCCACTGCTAAAGACAGGATACTGGGCTGGCTGGGCCATAGGTCTGAGCCAGTCTGGCAGTTCCCCCCTTCTTCCGCCTGAGAGCTAGGCACACGTTTGCACGAGCATTCATGCATTCACACAGTGTGTGTGCATGGGTGTGTTCATGCATCTGTGCACATGGGTGCACATGTGTGTGTGTGCGTGTTCATGTGTGTATGCACGTGTGCAAAGGGCTGGTCTGTGCTGCCAGCTGTGTTACGGAAAGTCAGGCCTCCCAACCTTGACAGCAAAACCCCAGGTAGCAGCTGCCCAGACTTGCCATCTGGTCGCCTGCTGGTGGCTTGCCCCTGCGGGCCATCGGCTCGCTGGCGGCGCTACATGAGCTGTGCTCTTCCTTTCAGAAGAAGCTGTGAACGAGGTGAAGCGCCAGGCCATGTCCGAGCTCCAGAAGGCGGTGTCGGACGCGGAGCGCAAGGCCCACGAGCTGATCACTACCGAGCGAGCCAAGATGGAGAGGGCCCTGGCGGAGGCCAAGCGCCAGGCTTCCGAGGACGCGCTGACGGTGATCAATCAGCAGGAGGACTCGAGTGAGGTAGAGGCGAGCTCGCCCCGCTGCGCAGTGCTCGCTAGGGTAGTAGAGTTTAACCCTTGGCGTGCTGACACCGCGTGCGCCCCCAGCGTGCGAGCCAGGGCTGGAAGCTTGCTGGGAGGGGGCTGCCCTGTTACAACCCCAGAGTTCAAGCATTTAGAGTTCAGGAGCCTGGTTTTTAAACCAGATCAGCAGGCAATTCACCCTGCACCGTGGGGGCATCCCAGCTCCCACGCCACGCTCGGCCCATCCTTCCCCCAGGTACCTGA